TAGGGCGGGGCTACACAGTGATTGACAGGTCTCTACCAGAGACGTATACGGTGTCTCTACGTCACTCCTCCTCAGTCCAGATATGGTCACTTCCTGTTCACTGGTTGCAAAAAAAATGGGAACAGCCATAATCCAAGATGGCGATGGCGAAATCGCTGAACTCTAGGCTTCAAAACGTCCACAAACCAATGAGAGACGTCACCATGACTACGTCCACTTCTTCTATAAAGTCTGAGGATGATCTGGAGACAGAGACCTCGAGGTGTCCCTCATAGAGACGATCAAGATGAACCATACTCACTGTTTCTGAAGCAGGTTCTGCTGCTGCTGCCGGTACGACTCGATGGTGTGCTGAGGCAGGAACTGCATGAGCTCCAGAGACTCTTTGATCTTCACCAGAATCTCATAGATCTCCCGTCCTTTGATCTGGAGGAGGAGACGGAGACGGGTCAGCGAGTGGCTCGGACGCTCCACGTTTGATGAATGTTTAAAAGACAGAGGCGACACTCACCGGCAGACAGAAGACCTCCTCGTCTGTGGACCGTCTCTTCTTGATGGTGGACATCTGGATGCCGTGAGACACCTGACGGAAAGCTGAGAGGAGGAGAAAGAGAGGAGAGTGAGGACCGCTGGTCATGTGATCAATCTGAGCCAGAGCAGGAAGACCACCACCATCACAACCATCACCACCACCACCATCACAACCAACACCATCACCACCATCACAACTAACACCATCACAACCAACATCACCAACACCAACGCAAAAACACCATCACCACCATCATCATCACCACCATCACCATCATCATCACCACCATCACCACCAACACCATCACCACCATCACAACCAACACCATCACAACCATCACAACCAACCTCACCACCATCATCATCACCACCATCACCACCAACACCACCACCACCACCACAACCAATACCACCATCACCACCACCACCACCAACACCACTATCACCATCAACACCATCACATCACACAGTGACCTCGTACCATCGCTGCTCTTTGTGCCGTCCGTCACGTGCTGCTTTCGGATGCTGTCCTCGTCCGCCTTCCGGTCTCGACCCGGGCAGGCACAGATCCTGGCCTCAAAGCACCGTCGGCCGAGTACCTGTCCACTATAGGGAGAAGACGGGGAGGGGAGGGGGGGCACACAGCAGGTAAGACACAACCCAGTGACGGCAAAACGACTGGAGGACGAGGACGAGGACGGGACGTCTCTTACTCTCTGGTTTCCAGGGTGACGATGATGAGGATGGGCCGCCGGTTCATCCCCCCCACACAGCTGGAGTTGCACATGAAGTTGTACAAGATTGTGGTGAATTCTGTCCCAACCTGAGAGACGAGGACACGGACGGTGAGACACGTCAGCAAAGAAGCAAACACCTGAATTTAAAAGCTTTGATGTCTGCCGCTGGATTTCTACAGAGAAACACTGAGGAAGACGAGAAACGTGCACATTTAAGTTCACATCAATGGAGTTTTAAAGAGTTTCAATTTCTATTTCACTGTTCTCTTAAATCACATTTATTTAAAACATCCAAAGACGAGAAGAAAACCGACTCCTTCTTTGTCTCTGGACACATTTTGTTGATGATGTTGAAGGAAAACGTTCTCATAAAGTCAAGTTTTTATATTGAGACAGAATACAAACACAAATATTTCCACGTTATTACCGGATACACTGTAAAATCTAATTAGTTAACCTTACTTAAATAAAGCATGCAAACCGATTGCCTTAAAAAAAACACGTAAAGGTATTTGTTTCATGTAAGTGAAGTTGAATATGTATTGCAAGTTGTACTAACAGATGCTTATTTAGTGGAGTACACTTACCCTTGAGTTTAAGTAACTAAAGAAAAGTTGTACGAGTACTTAAAACTTTACTCAAGATGTACTTTTGACTTTGTATAGCCTACTCAGAATAACTATTTCAAACCACTTAAGTATTTCAAGTGAAATGTACTTTGTGTGTATTGCAAACAACACATTTATTTAAGTTGGGCTAACTAATGTGATCAGTTGTATTTACTTGTCATATACTTAAAACCATGCAAACCGATTGCCTTAAAGAGAACCAAGTAAAGGTACTTGTGTTACTTAAGTGCTTCAAACATCCTTTACACAGAGTTCATATGAACCTTCCTGAAGCTGTGATTGGCTGAGAGGATGAAGCCGTGTGGCCCCGCCCTCTAAAACAAGAAGTAAAGTGACACTGCCGATAAAACATAACAGAGGTTCTACGATCTTTAACCCGTAATGAGATGCAGTCCGTCCACAGGACTCTCACCTGAGGCGGTTCATAGGGAACCAGGACGCTCTGTCTCCCAGTGATGGAGTCCTCCACGTACTGGGCATGGTTGTTTCCCTCCACGCGGATCAGGTGACTGGGAGGAGCAATCTGACCTGGAAGCAGCGACCCGGTGTCAATAAAAAAACTACGATTGCCCCCGAAGAGAGAAAGCTGAATGAGATGAAATGTAAAAGAACTGACCGTCGTTGAACTCGCGGCTGAGCTCGTGGTTCGGGCAGCGCTTCACCACCTCGGTGACGTGCTCGGCCTTCTTGTAGACCGGCATGGCTCTGATGACGGCGCCCTGCGGCGGGTTGGTCAGCACTTTGATCTGGATCGGACACGTCTTGGCGATCTGACAGTAGAGTTTCTTTAGGTCCGTGGAGTACTGGAAGAGGACAGAAGAGGAGAAAAGAACTGTTTGAATGAAGAGCAGGTACAAATGTTTTCATGAATGTTTGTGAACAGCTGCTGCACTTCTGGTTTCTCCCCCGGAGCTCAGGACTGTGATTAGGACCTCCTTAAAGACAGTTCAGCCTCTGGGACTTCCTTTGAGAGCCATAAAGTGGACCCTCCAGCTGCAATTAAGAGCCCGGGCCTGGCTTTCATCTCCCTGCTGCCTCTCATCACATGAAGTGAAGGATCCATCGAACCGCCATCTACAACTCCCTTCTTTCTGTCATTTAAAGCAGCCAGACACGTTCTGATGGAGGACGAGGAGCACCAATCTGCTTCAGTTTGGTTCTGATCACGTTTCCTCTCGTCAGCTCAACTTCCAACTAACCTCCGGATTCCTGTTCACTACATTTAGTCAATATTCATAAAACGCTGATCAACGATGAAGAAGAATAGAAGTACACCGAACCCGCTGAGACGTTACACAGACATGGTTCCTCCTCCTTAACTCGTCTTCTGTCAGACTGAAGGAAATAAAACATTTATTTTATACTTTGTCTGTTTGTAGATTTCTACTAAATTCACCAAAAGTCACCATTACATAATGCCTCATTTGCATATTTAAACATCACATATCAGTAAACTTGTAATACAATAAATACTCCTCTTAATGTGAGTGATGAAGTGGTGAAGTTTCATGGTGATATCATGAGTTCATGTTGTGACCCTATTCACCTGTAGTCTTCTTAATGTGAGTGATGAAGTGGTGAAGTTTCATGGTGATAT